TCTATCTATCTATCTATCTATCTATCTATCTATCTATCTATCTATCTATCTTTGCAGAGGCTAGTGACCCTCAGCAGATGGAGCGTTTCCCAGGGGAGAAATCTGCACACTCAGTACATAAACACCCAGGTGGCACACATCCGAATCCTTGCACTCAGGAGGTAGATGAGGGCGGATGAGCAGTTCACAACCAGCCTTGGCTACACAGTCAATCTGAGGCCAGCCAGGGCTACCTGAGACTCTGTCTCACAAAGCCAAAAATCAAGCTTTTTTTTTTCCTACAACCATGAAAGCACTTACCATAAGCAAATGTCAGCTCCCTATAACAGAATACCTTTAAGAGGATGAGTTTAACCTCGAGAAAAAGTAAAATGAGGGAGAAGTCTCTTTTTACCATAAAGATGAGTGTGAGACCAAGCCTGTCAACACTCCAGCGTGGACAGGAGTGGCTCGTGGAGCTGTGGCTGAGGAGCCGTTGGCAGCTGCTGGCTGCTGGTAGACTACCATTTTTCTTTTGGTGTGTGGGCATTTGACAGCTGCCCGTTCCCCAGTGGATGTCTGCACACCCACGCATGTGCAGGCAGCACCAGCTTGACTTAGCGGGTTATTTAGAAAGAAAAGGGTACGAAGGTGGGAGGGGGGTACTGTGGGGTTTGATCTGGAGGCCTGGCTGTGTACGGTCAAGACAGACCGAAAACAAGCTGGGCGTGGTGGCACATGACTCTCAGCCTAGCACTTGGGAGGCAGAGGCAGGTGGATCTGTGAGTTCAAGGCCAGCCTGGTCTACAGAGTGTGTTCCATGACAGAGGGGCCCCGTACAGAGACATTGTCTCAAATAAAACAAACAACAAAAAACAAATAAACAACCCCCCAAAAACCCAAGAGAATATATGTATCTTTATCAAATATGTGTGAATTAAAAAAAAAGTATTATTAGAAAAAATAACTCAGCAGGGTGCAGTGTAATTCCAGCACTCGGGCAGCAGAGACAGGCAGATCTCTGTGAGTTCGAGGTCAGCCTGGTCTACAAGGCAAGTCCAGGACAGCCAAGGCTACAGAGAGACCCTGTCTGGAAAAACCAAAACCAAAACAAAGGACTCGTGCAAATAGGAAGAGTGTCTTTGAGGAGAAGAAAGCTCAGTCCAGGCCACAGCGGACTCTCACCTGCTTTGGGGTATTATGGTGCTTCCCTGTACACACAACCTTGCATATGAGAATGGCTGCCGAGCGCCCCAGGACCGACAGCTCCCTCAAGCTGAAAGGATGTTCTGATGTGAGAGGCCCAACGGGAGACAGGAGGTGGCAGATGGCATCATTTCCTGAGCTTGGACGAATAGGTATGTGCCATGTGAGACACCTAAATTCTCTTCATTCTTTTGAGGACCTACCTGCCTTGGCAATTATAACTTTTTGCCTTGACAACCAAGAAATATAGATCATTTTCTACCAGCAAAAACTTAAATGTGAGTCTTAGCTCAAGAAGACAGTGTGTAATAATACATAAATAATCTTGGGCTAGTGAGATGGCTCAGCCAGCAAAGGTGCTTGCTGCCAATCCTGATGGTCTAAGTTCCATTCCTGGACTCCATTTAGTAAATTTCTACAACTCATAAGTTGTCCTCTTATCTCTGTATACAGGCACGCACATGCGCTCACACACAACCCCCGCCACACACACACACACACACACACACACACACACACACACTTACACGCATGCAAGCATGCATGCACACAGACATGCAATAATGTAAAAAACAAAACCTTAAATCAATATTGAGGTTTAACCTTGTAGATTCCATGTGCCACAGCTAGCTAAGGATGGTAGAGACCCATGATGTCAGAGCCTGATCTCAGTGCCTCACAGCGGGTATGCCTGTGCTTTCAAAATGCTCAGAATGTTCAACGGGACTGTCTTCAGCATCTTCTGACTAAGTGACACCACAAACACACTATACACAGCAAGATGCTAGTGGCTGTTGGACCAGTTCCTAGAAGCAGCCAGCATGGGAGATTGTTTTCTGTCTCAAATTTGAGTCCCCTCTGAGGTCCTCCTGTGAAGCTTGAATGTGGGGCAGAGTTGAACGGGGCCAAGATGTTTTATTAAAAAGGTTTGAATCCTTGGCTCTCCTCTAACCTTCCCAAGACAGCTTTTTGCAAAAATGAATCCTTACAGTTTGAGAGAGCTGTCAGAGCTGGGGAACCAAGAAGCTATTCCTAAGCTGCGTATGCAGTGCAGGAGACACTTCTGGGACAGAGAGAAAGCCTGTCTGCACCAAACTCTTCTTTCCCCAGCCCCGGGGAAATGTCCTTCTGTGTTCATAAGTTAGGGTGGCAGTATCTGTTGAGACTTCCTTCTCCTGGGCCAGAGGCTTGAGTATTGGGTTACACTCAACATGAGGACCATCTTTGGGCCTCTCAAAAACCAGCTTTTGGGCTTGGGAGTTCTGATGTGGCAGAGATTGTAGGCTGCTCACCTCAAAATCAATGTCCATGCTCCCCTAACCTCAGGCATTGTATCCCAAGTTGATTTGGGAGAGTCGAATTGGTGTTGATTGATGTTTCTCTTCTCTTTTCCGTCCAGCTAGCCATGGCCAAGTGGTAAGGGGCTAACTGCCCTGGTGCCATCTCTGGCCGTTCCTCATTAAGGAAAATGACTTTCTGCCCGTGTAAACTGAGGCAATGCTAAGGTCACTGATTATGTCTAGAGCTATCTTACCCAGCTTCTCGACAAGACAGGGAGACACACACGCTGAATTGCTTTAATGAGAACCAGACATTTAATGACACAAACCCATCCATAAATGGCGTTGCTGTTCCCAAACACTCATGAACTTGAAACTAAAACACGAAGCTAGTTCTAACAAGTATTTTCCCAGCCTCCGGTATCCCAAAGATTAAAAAGTAATAGTGAAAAAAAAAAAAAAAAAAAAAGGGTTAAGGTCAGGTTGTTTTCATAGCACAGCGAAGGACTAACCATTTGTCCACTGGTCAAGTCTGCTCCACCCTGAAGGACACTGAGCTTAACCCGATGTCCAGCACGTGCTTAGTTAGTAGTTCCCTGGGTGACTGTCCCTGAAGTTACGCTCTGGCACACAGTAGGCACTTTAAGTGGGTAGTTACCCTTTCTAGGTTGGGTGAAGTATTTGGCTCTCAAAAACAAGGTAAAGTAATACATTCAAACAGAACGGCCGATGTTTCTGTGCCCCTGGGGTCCAGTGTGGGGTGTCAGTGCATTCTCATGCACATCTGGACAGCTGTTCTGGGGGAGCTTCCAGGGCCAGCATGCAAGCTGCTCAACGTCTGCCTTTGTTACGGACGTGGACCGGAAGGCCCACTCTTGTTTTGATTAGCACTCTGAATGCATTCAGAGTCCAGCTACACAGAGAGATGCTGTTTACAACAGGCAGCGTGGCGCAGGTACTGGCAACGCGGCTGGCAGAGCGGTCACATGCTTCTCTCTCCCCGCCCGGGCTCACTGACCTCACCCCGCCCCTCCCCTAATCTGCGTCATCCGTGTCTTCTCCCGCAGTAGCAGCTTCTAAGGCCGCCAGGGCTTCTGCTACCTCAGCGTCCTCATCTGCCACATCCCTGTCCTCACTGTGGGAGTGAGGGTCCTCCCGCCCGCTTCCAGGATCGACCGCTGGCGGAGGGCTAGTGGGGCCCCCCTCGTTAAAGAGGACATCCAGAACTTCTGTGGTCACTGCTTCACTCAGGGAGTCCCAGCTTCTCCTCGGGGAGAGGGGCGAGCTCAAACCCTGCTCGCTCACGCGGGGGTCAATTCCGGGCAGGGGCTCCCCCTCTGAGTGGTTTTCAAAAAGACAGTCCTTTTCTTCAGGGTCTGCGTTGCCTGCCGGGGGGCTCCAGAGCTGGGGATAATCGGGGGCTGGGATGTGTAGGGTGTGGCCTGCCACTGCCAAGGCCTCAGCAGGGCCTCTGCCTTCTCCATGTCCCACCATCGGGGTCCCTTCCGAGGTGGGCGGCGTGCAGCTTTGATCCCTGTAGTCCTCTCCTTCCAGGAAGGGTTGAGCCGGGTGAGTGCTGTCTATGGTGACGGCCCAGGGGCTGTTGGCCCAGGATTCACTGTCAACCTGGTGGGGCCTGGGACTCCCGAGAGACTGCTGAGTGGTAGTGGGGCTGATACCATTGACAATACCATGCTTTTCCACACAGCGTCGCTCTTCAGAGGCCTCCTGGGGGAGTGGGCCTTGGTGAGGTAGACCAGTTGTACTGTCTCTGCTCTCAGTCTTTCTCAGGCTCCCACCATGCAAGGCATTTCTGGGCACCTCAGCGTCACTGTTCTGGGTGCCTTTTAGCCTGACCGTGTCATCCTCCTCCAACCTGCAGTTGCTTACTTCGTTGACAAAACCAGGGGAGGGCACTTGAGCTGGATCAAAGAGATAGCTGGGGGGAGAGGAGGAGACATCAGTTAGCTGGCATGGGGACAGCAGAACTGGGGAAGAAACTAGCTCCTGTGATTTGTCTAAAAGAACAAATATACTTGGCATAAAAATCTTTGGCTAATGAAAAGAGCTGAGAAGACCTAAAAGGAAGGGGTAGGTGAATTATAAAGTGGTTCCTGGTATTTTAAAATGAAAATAAATTTTAAAAATATCCACTAGTTGGAGAAGAAGGGGCCAAGTACCAAATAACAATAGTATATTTCTCTAAGGGACTATTATATAGTCACTAAACTGGTAACTGCAAACTCTGTGGTAGGGTAAACAAAACAATCAGTAGGCATTGGTTCTGGGACCTCTCTGATAACAGTATGTGTAGATGCTCAAACTCCATATGGAATGATGGCATGTTTGCACATGCATGCCCTCTTTACACTTCATTTCTAGGTTCCCTCTTCCACTTAAGGCAAGAGAAACGCCATATAGATGATCCCCAACCTGTACTACTTCAGGAGCAACAAGAAGTCCAAATGTTCAGCACGGACTTGGTTTCTTTCTTAAACATTTGGATGTATGGTTGGTTGACTCTTGGGTTGTAGAGTCGGTGGATGTGGAGAACTGATACTGTAGATAATAACTACGTTTGCCTAAAGCCCATCATCACATGGCTGTGATGGAGAAAGCTTCTAAGTGTTTTCTAAGTGTTTGGAGTAAAATAAAGTCAGAGTTTCTTGTTGCCTGCCCCTAACCCCGACCAAGGGAGTCAGGCCATCAGTTTATCCTTTTTCCTTATGAGTCACCTCACTCAAATTTTTATGGAATGTCACAAGACAGGTGAATGGACCCTTTATTGTCAGTGATGCTGTTTCAGGAGCCCTCTACAACCTGAGCTTGCTTCCCCCTCTCCCCCTGCATCAAAGGCTTTGTGAGAAGTGTAAATTTGGCTGAAATGGAATTTGGCCTCAGGAGCGCTACTACATCTACAGGCCTCAGTTTCATTGTCACGTTCGAGCTGCTGGCTTTGTACTGTCGTTATGAACTGATTCATTTCTACCGCTTTTACTCTTGCTGTTGCTTTAGCGCCTGCCACTGGTCAAAACAATGGGTTTCGTTATGACATTTTCATACCTGTATATAATGGACTTTGAGGTACCCATCCCCTCAGCCTCCAGTGTCCGCCACCTCCACCCTCCGACCTGTATCATCCATTCTCTTCCTAGACTCCCGCTTCTACTTTTGTCTCTAATGTTCTAGGTGTGGCCTTAGCATGCTCCACGTGACTACAAGTTCCCAGCGATTTAATCTCTGTTCATGTTACCTTTGTATCATCTTACAACACCTGCACCCCATCTGGATTATTTTTTGTTACCATCTGGAAAAGAAAGAGTAAGAGAGAATGTCTTTAGCCATATTAGTGAGAATCAAGTTTACTTTTCTCTTTTAGACACTCCAAATTAAGAGCTGTAAGCTCCACTCAAAAGACAGCACATGATTCATGAGGACAAAACCCCATCACTTCCCTAAAGTCATGGATTCAGAGTTCTCCAGCAGTGTTTAACGCTTGGCTCACGCAAACCCCTTTCCAGCCATCCCTCTCTGCAGTGAGAAAAACACTATGGAATAATGTCAGGGAGGAAAGTGACCCGTGATGATTCGTGGCCTGTGACTTTTCTCAGAGGACCCAGGAATCTCCTGGGGCACAGTACCACTTGGCAGCAGGAGGTGTGAGCATTCCTGGCAGGCTCCCTGTCACCTCCTCAGGTATCAAGATGGCAATAGTTTGCATCTTGAGTGTCCATTGAAGGCCCATGTGTTGAAAGTGTGTTCACCAGCCTGTGGTACTGGGGGGGAGGGAGTAAGGAGTAGACTTAAAGGACAGACATTGGATCATTAGGGGTGTGCCTTTAAATAGAATATTTGGAGCCAGGACCCCCTTCTTTCCTCTTTCTTATTGCTTAGCTGCCGTGAGGTGACCAAGTTTCTTCTGCCATATGATCCTAGTAGGACATACTATACTGACACAGCCTCAAATAATAGGGCCAGCTGATCATGGACTGAAACTCTCAGAACTGCAAAGCAAAACAAACCATCTCCTCTGCAAACCAAAATAAACTGTCCCGTCTTATCTGCTGATTGGCTCAGGCATTTTGTCATAGTAATGGAAAGCTTGCTAGTGTATACAGTGAGTATTAAACATGCCCGGCCACGTGTTTCCTGACTCAGCCCTTTGGAGGGTACATCCTGAGCAGGATGGCAGTGTTCGCTTAGTCAGAACAGTATGCTCCTGATTTGCTCTCTCCACAGCCAGGATAAGCCCAATCATGATTCATGGGTTTTATTCTCTTGCAAGTCAATACCACATTCCCTGAGGATTCCGAGTGAAGGTGGTAGACTCATTTCCTGTCTGCTCACTGTTCTCTGTCCCTCCCCAGGTTGGATTTTCTCTATCTCTTCTGTTTGAGCAAAATCTTCTTTTTGTATAAAGCTGGTCACCCTGGCTTACTGGATTCCTCAGTGAAATTCAAACTTTGATATGGGAGGACCTCTACGTGGTTTTCCATTTCTTATGTACACAGCCTTTCAGAAGACAAATGGATATGGGGACCTTTAGCTGAATGCCTTTGTTTGTAAAGTTCATTGGAGGAGAGATAGTTGCCTGTGGATGCCTCCCTCTCTTCCACCCCCTTTCAGTCATAGACTCCCAGCATGGTACCCCGGAAGCCTCAGGCAACAGGGAGAGTGGCCACTGCTGTGAACTACAGGCTGGCTGCAGAGTCTTCGATTTACCATGGTGGTAAAATAAAACTGAATACCCTATGACATAAGTGGAAAAGTTGCTTCCTAAAAGATACAGCCACCTAAAGCCCTTATAACCATAGCCAAAGCAAGCAATCAAACACGTGGAGGTGATCAAGGTAAGGACCCCAGTACGTGAGGTTCCAAAGTTCAATTAAATCTGTGCGGCTTACCCAAAGGTAGAAGGAGATTTGGTCCCGCACAGAAAGGGAGACAATGTGACTAAAAATGCAGAAGTGGAGTGAGGGGATGCTCCATGCCCCTGAGGAACAGGGACCACATTCCCTCCTGGGAGCGTGGGAGGAACAGGGCCCAGGAAATACCTTTATGTTCTTTTGTGGAACTCACTGATCCCAGTTCTAAGAGCTCTGGCTGCTTGTCTAGAAAGCTCAAGTTGGTAGCCGTTTTTGCAGCAGCACAGAAAGTGGTTATACAACCAACCCCCTTCTCCCTAAGCATCAAATCCCTCGGACAGTGAACTTGCAGGCCCATTGGTCACACAGCCATCTCTCTTCATCTTCCTTCTACGTTATCTTTCACTTGTCTTCCTTGCATGTGTTTCTCCTGGACCTGTTGTCACTGATTCATTTCTGATTCATCTTCATGATGAAGATGAAGGTTCTCCAAGCCTTTTTTGTATTTTAAAAAGATGTACATCTTATATCCACAAAATATGTGACATAGTTGCCATGACACTGGCATTAGTAACACCAAGAAGTAGCTTTTCTGGAGCAAGGACCAAGTGGTTCATGTCTGTCAATCATGACATCAGCTGCAAAATATATATAGACCCAAGTACAACAGCCCTGCAGAGAAAGGAGGGAAGGGAGGTTCTAGTAAGTAGCAATACACACACACACACACACACACACACACACACACACACACACACGGTGGCTTTTAGGATTATGCAACTAGCCCCAGCTTTCTCCATTTCAGGACTAGCTCTGGAATCCTGATTTTTGCTTACTTTGGAGCCTTGTTTTGAAAAAAAAAAAAAAAAATTCAGGCAGGAGGGTAACTAATGAAGATAAAGTTGAAGAAAAAGAAAAGGGGGCTCAGAAGTGTTTGAGAAACCGAAAGGGCAGACTGCAGAAGCACCATACAATGTTAATGAGTTGGTCAGCTTTTGCAGTTTAGTCTGGAAGAGAGTGAGAAAGGGGCAAAGGAGGGCGGATATGCAGCTGGTCAACCAGCTGGTCAATGTCCATGATACTTCCTAGAGCTGCTTAGATCCTGGGAACCCCTCACCTGGTGAAGCCTGAAACCCTTTCTCATCTTCTGCTGGGCTCAGGACACAATGCTCGGAAACTCAAGGATGGCGGGGATTTATCATTCCTCCCCTCCAAATCACTCATTTCCCAAGGCAGGCAGTAGACAGACAGAGCAAGGCAGGCTGGAATTGAACCCACAGCCTTCTGCTTCTGTGTTTCCTGCAGTCTTCAGGCTCCCCCTCCCTCCCAGGGAAAGACAGGCTCCACACTGCCCTCCTAATCCCATCATTTGCAGGCCAGTTAAGTAGCTTTTCCCTCTTTAGGGTCAGTTCCCTGTCTTTCTCCTGCACTACCTCCCTTAGGGTCCACGCCTGGCTTTCCTTCAGGCCCAGGCCTGTACCTGAGAGCCACGCATTTGAGTCAAGTACCAGCCTGAGCTGAGGACCACTCTTCCTGGTTCAGGTTGTGCCCTTTCTTTCCACTCTGTGATCTGCTTTCCTGGTGACATTCCTTTTCTCAACTGGCTACCCTACCTGCCTTCTTCCTGCTCATCTTTTGGAAGCAGCTGCCTGACTTTCAGTGGGAGCCATCGATGGTGAAGGGAATCCAGATTTGCTTTGCCTTTGTAGCAATACAAACAGCAACAAGGAAGCAAAGGGCACATCTTTGCAGGCAGGATTTAGTTTACACAGGGGAAAAGCAAATACCATTAGGACAGCTGAGTCTGCCCGCTGCTGGCGCCACCTGCTCTGGGACTCCCTCAGACTGCTTGACTCGGCCCCACGTTTCACGTTGGAGTTAAACAGCCCCGTGTTTGAAGATGGCCATGGCCACATGAGTTAGTGGTCTCCAGGAAGGAAATGCAGTTTTACAGTGGGGACGAGAAGGGGAGAGCAGGACCGGGGGGAGCTTGGAGTTTTTTTTAATAGAGAAATTGACAGTGTTCATCAGGCACCAAGGGGAAAGAGCTAGGTAAAGAGTGATTGCTGGGAGCCAGCTTATACGGGTTTTATTGGCCAAGGCTGGAGTCATCGGACCATCAAAACAACAACACTACCAAGGATTTTACTCTGAAGAAAACGTGGCCATGAGACCACAGTGAGACGAGAGCAAAAGGGAAAGGCGCAGCTCTGTCATACCCGGAGTGAGGGAGCTAGAAAGATCACCGTCACAGTGATAACAGTGCACCAAGGAAGGCTCACTGAGGGCGGCCCAGGAAACAAGATGGGTGGAATGACAGCAGATGGCGGGGCAGGGCTGAGAATCACTGTCTCCGGACATGCCACAGCCAGTACTCAACAGCAGCTGTGGCTGCCGGCACAGAGCCTCCCTCCGAAAGACTGAAGCCCCGACAGCTATAGATGGGCCCCGCCCTCAGGCCGACACCTCCTCTCAGAAGCGCCTCCTGCTTCTGTGTCAGTCATCTAATTCACATCCTGCATGCAAATGCACAGAGCACTTCATCCTCTAGTCAAATGAAGGAATGTGGGTGAGTGACAGGCAGGGGGAATGGGGCTGGGTGTTTGCGTGTTTTTGTTTTGTTTTGAAGTAGAGTCTTGCTGTGTAGTCCAGTCTGGTCTGAACTCACTGTCCTCTCTCCTCAGCCGCCAGAGCGCTGGGACTGCATGTGGGCACGGCCTTAGGATGTCAGATGGGAGAAGCCATTTCAATCGAGGGTCTTTCTGTTTCCGTGTTCAGTCCACACACACTTCACTCCCCAGTGCCCCCAAATCAGAAGACAAGCCGTGAACTGAGAGGGAAAGACTAGGCCCCTTCTGCCATGCTGGGAGACAGTTTCCTCTGTGGTACTCTTCCAAGCATCAAAGACATGCTGCTTAAAGGAGGTTCTCAAGTCCCGCCTAGGCAAAGGTTAGAGTTTCCAGAAGGCTACTGGGACATTTGCAAGGGGCTGGAGTAAAATGAAACACTTGCATTTTTTCTAAATCTGATTTTCCAGAACCTGGTCAGAGGGCAAAGTGGCTCCACTACTGGGTACTGAGCTCCCGTATCAAGGGGAGTGGATGAGCATCGGCGGGTGTGAACCTCTGTTTACAGAAGACGTTAGAGAAGCCGGCCAGCTTGTGCTGATTCCAGAGGGAAAGAGGGAATTGAAGATGAGCTATGGACTACGAAATCTCACGTGGATGACTTTTTCCTGCGTAAAGGCATCAAGCTTCTGGTATTTTTGAGAGGTTGAAAGAGTAGGTAAAGACTGCTATTATCCGCACCTTAAATACTCCACTTTACCTGGGTAGATGACGTGCTGGAGATGGAGGTGAGCACTGCGGAGCACTGGGGTGGATGGGACATTTGTGTATAGAGACATGCTTACGGATTTCTCTCCTGTGGTACTCTGAATAGG